TGCACTCCACTATTATCATGTATGTAAGAAATAAATAAAAAATAAAAAGAAATTGATCTGTATAAATTGTAGGTCCTCTTGACTCAGTTTGGGTTGATCATATACCACTGTAGTGTTTCTTAAGTCCATCCACAGCTTCTCTGACTTCAGTCATTTATCAAATCTAAAAATCATACTATAAAGATAAATGAAGAAACAAAACAAAACTATTGCATTTCATGACTAAACAATTAGGGTCACTCCAGGTGAACTGGGCTTCTCAAAATAATCACACAAAGACACAGAAAGACCTTTTTCTTTGAGTCTTGTGACACCTCCTCCAACCTTAGGGGTCCGTGGAAAGAGAGAGAGAGTTCACATGCAGAACCCTTTTATTGGGAAGAAGCCATTCAAATGAGGCAAGAGGTCAGGTATCAGGGGTTTGAGTCTAGCTTCCTGAAGTCTGCTGTCAGCAGATTGACTGACATCTAGAGAAGCCACGCCCATCTCATGAGCTGTGTAGGGATCATGGCAGAGCAAGCAAATGACCAGAGCAAGGCCCTCCCAAATAGAGGGGCAATGTCAGTTCAGTCCACTTTGTGGGCTATGTGCACATAGTTGACACACATACTGAGAAACTAATGTGACTCCATTTTTAAAAATAAATAAATAACAGCAGCTTCTACCTCAAGGCCTGTCCTAAGGAAGGGGGTGTGACCCTTGTCCTTGGAAAAACCCACAGAGCACTCCTAAGCACATACCCACCTGCTGAGTTGTTTGCTGTAAATAACAGGAGAGGTCTGCAGTGCCAGGTGTCCCTGACTCAGTTAGGCTAGGTGAGGACCCATAGCAACCCCCTAGCAACCTTCAATCAGCATAAGACAGAGAAAATACCTGGAATGCCAAATGACCCCCAAGTAGTTTATGGTGATTGATAACATGTTAGGAAACCATGTAGTTTAGCAGTACACTCCTCATGGCCTAAACCAATCAGTTCAAACGAATCCCCCTCTTATATTGACCAATCACCCCTACCCAAATTGTTCCTGCCATTGAATGTGCTAATCAATGTTAAGAGTTGTTGTTTGACTTTGCCATGGTATGGAATAATTTGCTGTGTGATGTTGTGATGCATAGAGTATTCCCCCAAAATCCTATAAAATCCCACTGAACAAAGGTCCGGGCGGACTCACTCCCTGGGACTGCTGACTCAGGAAAGGTTGTGAGTTCAGGCTTGAGCTTGCAATAAAGACTCTTGTGTGATTGCATTGGATTCAGCTCCTTGAGGTCTATTAGGGTCCCATGAATCTGGCATAACAATACAACCCATGGCTGGCTTGCCACATCTCCACATTCTCATCCCTCAAGGCTAAGGGACACTTGGTTCCTATATGGCAGCTCCCAACAGGAAACCAAGCTTCATCATGGCTTTTTTCATGAGTGACCTCAATTTTGTATTTCTGTGGAATAAAACACCCCCATGTTGCCACTTGACACCATAATGAACCAATATATATTCCAAGTAGCAACAGGTAAGTTGAGAGGGAAGATAAAGCAGTCAAATGAAACAAGCAAAATATAGTGACAATGGTATGACCAAGCAATTCTGAGTAACGTGATCTAGCATTAATGTCATCACATTATAAATCAGATGATATAATTCTGAAGTAGGCTGAGAGGGAGATGAGGGCACAACAATTGTGGAGTGAGGAAACAAACACTACTGCCTCAATCCTCCTCCTTCTCCTTTCCTTCCTTCTCTGTTGCTGACACTCTTTCCATCAAACTGACAAGTAATATATCTACATATAGAAAATACGTAAAATCCACAAAAAAATCAACATATTTATATAACTTTATTGTTGGAATTAAGCATTTTAATAAATTGATTAATGCCTCAATTACTCTTTCTCACATGCTGTGAGCAATTCAGCACCCTCCTTTAACAAGTACTAAATTACTGTAGTTTAGATGCTTCTGTCAAAGTCCAGAAACCACATAAATCATTTGAACAAGGAAAACTTAACATAGACCTATTCATGTCTGAGGCCCTGGATTTAATCCCCAGCACTGAGAAAAAAAGAAAAATAATCAAGTAGTAAAAAGTGGTTAACTACCAAAAGAAGTAAAAGAAGGATCCAAAGAATGCAGAAATGGCATATATAGTACCTCTTAGATTGAGGCAGAGTAGTCAAGGAAGGAAAAAATGTATGACAGGGTCCCCAATGAGACTGAGGTACAGAACTCATTGGGGAAGATGGAACCATGGCCCACTGGAAGGTTGAAATGGATCTGTAATGCTCCAACTCACCAGGTGTCCTCTTTCATAATACCCCACCCCCCAAACATTTCTGACACCAAATGTTTGGAGTTTTCCACATCAAGTTATTCTCCAATTCTCTGCATATATCTGGGTATCCTATAATTAAATTAAGGAATTACCAGAGACCCCAGAGGTTAAGTGGACCCCACAGTCTTAAAAGTATGTTCCCATGATTTCAGATGAAAATCACAAGATAACTCCTCAAGTTACCCACCTGTTTCTGAGGTTCCTGTCACTGTAAGGAGATCCAGTGAAGTCTCTCCAGTGGCAAAGGAAAACTCTACTCAGAACTTTCAGACCCTTGCCCATACCACAGAAAAGAATGAAAGGATGTCTTGGGGTTTAGCAAAGAGAGGAAGAGTATGATTAGAAAGTGAAAAGTGAATATAGGAGAATAATGTGGGCCATCTCAAGAGCAAGAAGAGACACACCACCAGGAATTAAGGTCAGGTTATTTTATAGTGTACAAAGATAGAATATATGATCCAAGTGGATAGGACTTTCCTGGAGACTGGGAAATATTGATTTTTTCCTGTTAGGAAATCTAGTCTGCTATGTTGTTTTCAGCTGATACTTGATCAGGTGTTTGATCCAATCAAATGTTAGCCCCTAGTTTCATGAGGTTAGTAGTGTCTTTCTTTTGAAATCTTGTTCCTGCTTTGCTGAATTCCAGAAATTTTATATGGAATTGGAAACTTATAAAGTAATTTATGGGATTGGTGCATATTTACCTTTGGTCTCTTCCTTTCCCTTAAGTTTCTTTGTCCAGGTCAGGAGCAGTTCACAAATTTTTGTTCCACATCCCAACAGGCACTTTTCTCCTTTAGAAACTTTTTTTTGGTAGTATCCCAAATTTCTATCTCATTCCCAAGGCCCATCCTCCACTCTAAGATCTATTCTCAGATTGGATGATTTTCTACAGCCATTATCTAGAAGGGCTCACAAAACCAAGAAAAACAACTCTGTTTACTATCCAATTTATTATAAAAGATCTTGTAGAAAATACACTGAATAGCCAGATAAACATGTACACAGAGTGAGGCCCAAAAAAGCCTCAAGCACAGGAATATCTGTCCCATGGTGGAGTTTGAGAGGCACACCACAACACATGGATGCATTGTTGTTCATCAAGTCAGAAGCTCCCTCAACATTTTTTATGGGTATTTCATTATTTCATTAAGATTTATTAAATCATTTACTGCTGGAAATTAATTAACTCAACATTGAGCTCTATTTCCTCCCCTCTTTCAACTTTCTACTCTAAATTTGTTCTTTTGGCAACCTGACCCCATCCTGAGGTGATCCAAGGGCTTTCTAAAAGTTATCTTATTAACATAAACTCAGATTGCTGAAAGGGGCTGGTTATTAATAACAACAGACTCTCCTTTTGAAGTCAGATTTAAAAATAGGTAGTTAGTGTAGTTAGGTAAATTGGTCTAATATCAAGAATGAAGGCCATATTGAGAATGGAGCCCCAGGAAAGCAGAGAAGCACTTGGGGAAATTGAAATGTTAATGTTCCCAAGGCCCAGAGCCCATTCTAAAGAAATGTTAATGAAGAAGCTTGCAGCATACTGGGAGGCGCTAATCAAAAGCTGCCCCAGGCCCTTCCTGCCCAGATTACTCCTCTGGCCCATCTGCCCCTCACCTTCTAGGTCTTCCCACCTACATTCTATCACTGCAAGATAACAAAGGACAAGAATGTGGGAAAACTGAAAGAAGACCTTAGCTATAAAAGAGGGAAGACCTCCCCTTTCCATGGATTCCACCTCTTGGGTCCCCTTCTTCCTCCAGGAGAATATCTTTTCTGCTCCCCTTAATAAAGCTTCTACTTTCCACTCTAAACTTGCCTTGGCATGCTTCTCTAGTGTTAAACTTCAGCACTGGGGAAGTAAGGACTCTTCACCAGTAAACAGTGATAACACTTTCATCTCTATCAGGAAATTCCAAGGATTTTAGGAGCTGTTTTCAGGGATCTGGGATACAGACTAAAAATATAGATAAAGATATTAATATAGACATTTCTTACTATGTCACCAAAAGGTGAGCCTTCTGCACACCATTGGAAGATGCATATAAAAGGAAAAACGGTCCAGTATGGTGGCTCATGCCTGTAATCCCAGCAGTTTAGGAGGCTGAGGCAGGAATATCACAAGTTCAAACCAGTCTCACAAATTAACCAGGCCCTAACAATGTAGGAAAAGACTGTCTCAAATTTTTAAAAGGGTGGAGGGAGGGGAGTTGTGTGCTGGTGTTCTAGCTCACTGGTGGAGCAAGTGTGAGGAACTGGCTTTGATCCTCAGCACCATATTAAAAAATAACTAAATAAAGGTATTGTGTCCATCCACAACTAAAGAAAAATATTTTTTTAAAAGAATAGGTTGGGAATGTTTCTCAGTAAGCACAACTGGATTCAATCCCTGGTACAGGAAAGAAGGAAGGAAGGAAGGAAGGAAGGAAAGAAAGAAAGAAAGAAAGAAAGAAAGAAAGAAAGAAAGAAAGAAAGAAAGAAAGAAAGAAAGAAAGAAACAGAACTACCTTGCCTTGCAGTGGCTCCTCCAGTGCATTGTACCAATAGTCTCACATTGTGTCAGAATGCAAAGAAGTGTTCACAAGGTCCAGTTACAATAACACAAAGAAGACCAACATGGAGTGGATTTGGAAAAGAAATGTAATGAAATGATACTGGACTCTGTACACACCTTTGACTTTATACTTTATGTATGCATACATGTTACACCATTTTACAACCATTTGAACTTCCATAAAACAACAAATCTATCATGACAAAGCCCCTGAAAATGAAGAGGTTTTCATCTGTTCCCCAACATAAGAAGCACTCCCAGTCACTGTACACTACACTGCTATAGTATTTACTCTTCAAATTCACTCAGTCCCATTGACTATACTGTTACCTAAAGATAACAATTTGTATATAAAATTATGAATATAAGAAGAGAGAGGAAGCAAATGGTCAATACATAAAAATACACACATATACACCCCAAGCAAAGAGAAAATATACAAAGCTATTACAATCCTTGTTTATAGATGGACAGTGTAATTATATGTACTTTCTATCTTCCAATTCCCAAACTTTATTGTCTCTCCCCAAGTCAGAACAACTGGTCTCATCTGTAGCTCACTGTTGGAGCAAGTATGAGGAACTGGCTTTGATCCTCAGTACCACATTAAAAAATAACTAAATAAAGGTATTGTGTCCAGAAAGCTATTGAATTATGGAAAAATGGGTATATTCCATTCATCCCAGAATAGGAAGCAGATAACATAGAATGTTGTACTCTTTCTTCTCTTAAAACTCCATCATTTATTGTACTTTAGAACTGAAATATCCTCCAAAGGCTCACATGTTAAAATCTTAGTCCCCAGCTGGTGGCCTTTTGGGGAAGTGGTAGGAACCTCAGTAGGTGGGGACTAGGAAACAGGAAGGAAGTAGATAACTTGGATGTGTCCTTGAAGACTATGTCTTGGCCCCTTATCTATCTATCTATCTATCTATCTATCTATCTATCTATCTCTCCCTCCCTACCTCCCTTCCTGCCTCCCTCCACCCCCCTTTCCCTCTGTCTTCCTTTCTTGCTTCCTGCCTGCTGTGAGGTGAGCCACTTGCTCCACCACCTGCTCCCTGTCATGAAATGACATTCTCCCTCAAAAACAATGGAGCCAGGTGACTATGGACTGAAACCTCTAAAACTGTGAGGAAAATAAATCTGTCCTCCTTTAGGTTGATTTTCTCAGTATTTTGTCACAGAGACAAAAAGGTGACTAACATACCTATCAATTTCCCTGGAAATTTTTAGATAATGACTGTCATCTGATAGTCTAAATCTGCAAAAATAGAACTGGGGATCATTCTCAACCTCAAAGTTCCTCTACACACTTGCAAGTGCAGTAACATGATCTCCCCTCTGTTTGAATTTGTTTTGTTTTGTTTTGTTTTTGGAAACAGGGTACCACTATGTTCCCCAGCTGGTCTCAAACTTTTGGGATAAATTGATCCTCGTGCCTTAACCTCCCCAGTAGATGGGATTACAGGTATGTACTGCCACAGCTGCTTGAAATAACTTTTAATACCAAAAAATAGGGCTCCTCAGTTAAATTGCATATTCTCTAAACCAGTTACAAAACAGCCAAATTTTATCTTCTGCTATCTGAATATAAGATATGAACTGAACTCTCATAACCACACATGTGAAGTCTGAACAGAAAGCAGAAGGACAAGCCCACTGAACAGTCCAAGTCTCATCTCATGAGCTTTTGCGACCAGGAGTCTGTCGCCCCAGGAAGAGCCACAGTGAGGGATCACAGACAGCAAGGCACTCTATGTGGACAAAACCTGGAAGTGTTAGGGAAGTAACAGAGATTCAGCCTCTGGGGGAGCACAATTAACACCACAACCTGAGCTGAACCCCTCCATTGGGGTACTCAGGATTTCCTCCAAAGGGGAAAAATTGTTAAGGGGTACAGGGAGCCCCTCAGACCCACTTGCCATGGAGCAGATGGTCATGGACACACCTCCATACCTAAGCATGAAGTATGGAAAGAGAGCTCCAGAGAAGGAGATGGGAGGGAAAGAAAAAATGTGGGACCCATCAATCATGTTATAGAAGGAGACATCCCCTTCACTGTAGTCCAGGAAAACCCCCACCCTGCAGGGATCCTGCCTAGGAGATAAACAAGTCTCAGGATCAGTTTGGGCAAAATACTTATTGTTACCTTTCCCCATGACCCAAAACCCCCTTTGTGATAATTCCAGGTAGTTGCCTGTTCTCCTCACATCTTTCCTGCAGACTCCCAGAGTCCATTTGCTGAAGAGTTCATTCTCTATCTCCACTTCCCAGAACCATCTTCCTGATGTGATGCCCTTAAGACCCAACACACTGCATTTTTCATCACAGTACAACAGGCTGGGGTCCTTCCAGGACAGATGCATCTTTTCATGAGAGATAGAAAGCCAGTGATGAGCAGACAATGGATCCAGAGTGACAGACCCTGTTGAGAGAGTTATCAATCATGCAAGGTCCTCCCTGCCCCAAAACAAAGCACACAGCCACCCACCACCTCACAGCCACAGAGCTGCCTGAGCTGAGGAGGGGATAAGCCTCCTGAGATACCAGTCTTGTAACTCAAGCCCACGTCCTCAATGAGGAGAAGGAGCCAGAGATTGATTTGGGGGGTAGACTTGTGACAGGTCCCTTAAGAACCAGTACCAGTGTTGTGACTATCACTTCTGCCACAGCATCACCATTGGTGATGCCAGCATCTGAATCACCACAGAGAACTTAAGGAGAAGCCAGAAGCCATGAGGGCAACAGGAGGAACATCTAGAAGCGCACAGTCACTCACAGGCTTGGAACTGTTCCTTCCGCCAATCTACGAGAGAACACACATCTGATATCAAGGATTTGCAGAGTCTGTACACATCAAGGTCAGCACCCAGTCTTATGAAACAGCAATGTGGGAGGAAGAAGGGAAAAGCTGTGTGAAAACATTCACGTGCTGTATTTATCTCTTACACACACACACAAACACACACACACACACACACACACCACTCACACATCCTGCTGCAGCATTCCCATGAGGACTAAGCCAAAAAGCTTAACACCCCAGGATCAAAATGCTGGATATCAATCTGAAAGGTCACTGTTCAGATTTAGCTACCAAATAATACTTTCTCAAGACACAGACACATAACCATCCGGACAACTGGGTTATCTTGATATAGAATTGAGGTTATCAAAATTTCCAAGACCTCCATTTACTTATAAAGAACTGACTGTGCTGCACTTGTAAGGTACCTCTAAGCCATGAGTTGAGAATTACATCTAGCTTAGCTAAACTTGGAGGATGACTATAAATCATGAGTGCAGGGAACTCAGAGAAATTTTGCCCAGTTAGGAGGCAATGGATAGGGTTTTAGGATGGGAGAGAAAGAAGTTCAAAGCAGGAAACAAATATATCCAGTGAGAGGTTAACACTAGTGACTTTTCTTCAACTTTTCACAGAACAATAGGAGAAAAACACATATGGGAGAACCCAAAAAATATCGGATCTAGTCGTTTGTCTCCCACAAGAATTGCCTAAAGAGTTTTAAAACTTCCAGCTATGATAGAACCCATAGTCCTAAACTCCAGAGTGTGTGAATAGGTTAAATACATAGGCAACTTTACAAAGGTGATTAAGATTCAGGTTCTTGAGCAGAGGAGGTTATTCTGGATTGTCTGGATGAGTCCAAACCATCACATGAACCCTTGTAAACACAGACCTTTCTTGGGTGTGGTCAGAGAAGCAGATAGAATCACATAAACAAGGTCAAAACCATGCTGTGCTGCTGGCTTTGAAGATGGAAGAACAGGCCCCCAAATGAGGGAATACAGAGGGCCTCTAGAAACTGCACAAGACAACAGCCTCCACAAAGGAACACAGCCTTGTTCATACCTTCTTGGACTTCTGACCTACAAATATTTAAAATAACATATTTATGTTGGCTGAAGCTACTAATTTTGTACTAACATGGCAGCAAATAGAAAGCTAATATGCCCACTTAGGTGACACACCCCATGTGGAAAAAAGCACTGGCAGAGAAATGTGCTGGCAGAAAACATGAATCTCTGTGTCTCCTGCACTCGGGAAGCTGAGGACCCAGAAAGTCTCACATGCTCTGCTGGATGGTGAAAAGGCAGGTTCCCAGTGAGTCAGTGAACCAGAGAAAGTCTGAAGGTTAAAGGAAAAAACCCAATGGCTACTAGGAATAAGTGACACAGACTTTGGACTTTACCTCAGGGTCCGGGAAGGGTGACCAAGCAATGAGATGAGACCTGCCTTTACTCAGGAGACACCAAACCAAGGGTCTTATGAACCAGTTTAGACTAGCCTCCTGATGGTGAAGACCTGAAATAACTAAGAGAAAACCCATGGTCCCTCTTCCCCCACTGCTCCAAAGCCACATAAGTCTCCTCCAACCTCCATACTCCATTTTCGGAACAGGATAGGAAGGTCATTAACCAAAATTTTTTCTTTCTTAAAGATTTGTGTTTAAATTTGTGCCCCATATTTCCACTAATACAGGTTCAATCATATACATTGGTATTTCCATCTTTGTGGAGTTGCTTAATAGAAACTAGATCATATAAAATGTCTGAGCAGACCCAGATGATCCTTGGAGAAAAGTAAGTTTTGCTCATTTTTCACCAAGATATTAGATAAAATCCAATTATAATTTTCTATATAATACCTGACTGAGAATATCAAAAAAAAAGAAGAAGAAAATGGAGGAGAAGGAAGCAGATGGGGGAGAAAAGAAGGAATGAAAGAGAAAAACCTTTTGAGACTTTCCAGTGTGTCAAGTGCCATGCTATGCACTTTAATGCAGCCTTCATATAATTCCCACTGAAAATTTGAATATATAGCTCATTGTTACAATTTCATGAACAAGATGAGATAGACATTTGTCCACCTCACACTATGGACCTCTCAATATGACAGTGTTGATTCTAGTAGAGTTATGGTGTTTATTCTTACAAAATAAAAGAGTATGCAATTTATACATGAAAACATATAGATATTAATTCAGTAGAGAATGGGGAGATGGTAAAAATAAAGACAATTTGATTCTTCTTTTTTAATAAAAATGTCCCCAGGAAAATCATTAAGATTCTCAAAGAATGTTCCTCAAATATCTGAATCCAAAGCCTCTTGATGCCATGGCTCACCTTCCTCTGTCACTCACAGTCTATATCCCTGATGTGAAAAAGAAACATCCAGAGTAGGAAAAGGGCATATTGTACAAATTCAGATGGCACAGGTCCTAAACTCACCCCCAGAGTTAAAGAGTCCTCTGGATAATTTTTCATTGAATTGGAAACTGCCTTAGCATATGCCTTTCCTAACTACTACTGGAAGGTTCAGGTGGTCTCATTATCACAAGCAAACTCAATGAGATGATTACTTAGAAATAGATTAATGGAATTCACGCACACACACACACACACACACACACAATGTATTAACTGAAAACTCTCAAAGATGTATCAAGGAATTGATTACATTTCAGGCACACAAAGAACCTGCAAATCCTCTTCACACTCAACTCAAACCACCTTGGATGTGATCTTCCAGCTCTCACTGCTTCAGCACAACCAAAATGTCTATGTGAATCTTGGGCACTCTACTTTCCTTTTGACTTCCTCTCTCCTCCTACCTCATCCTTTCTTCTCTGGTTTGTTCTCTACCCTTTCTTGGGTAAATAATATTAAACTCTCCAGGTTTCTCCTTTTATGATCTTCACACATTTTAAAAACAACAACAACAACAAAGACCAAGCCCAACAGGCAAAGCAAAATTCTCTTAAAATCAGAGAAAAGTGTTGTAATCAATATAAATTGCATTGTGTTCCTGTAACACAAACACAAACACAGACTTTGCATATAATTTCAAGTGGTTCTCAGATCCCCTAGCATCCTGGACCCCAAATTCTGAACACCAGAAACTCATTTCTCAGCAACCTAGATGCTTAGAAGAAACCAAACTAGGACAGTGAGTCAGAGTAGGAGGTGGCTGAGAGAAGACCAATATCCAGAGGACCATGAAGAAACAAGAAAACCAAACATGGACCCAAACGATAAAAATCCAGGGTAAAGGGAATAGAGAATCAAGGCCCCACATTAGGAAGATGTAAGTCCTAAGCTGTCAAATATGATTTCTGAAATTTCATGGAGACCAGCAATTCCTATCCACAGTTCCAACCTGCTCCATCCAGGCTCTGCCCACAACTGAACTCTCCAGTGTCACTGCACCAACAACAAATACCAGTCAAACACAATGTTTTCAGAGGGTGCATTTAACCCTAACCTGCAGGGGAGGATGAGCCTAGAACAGGTTCACTCCTCACACCACAACATGAAAAAACAAAATTAAAATTAAATAAGACATTAGGGAAATTACCAAAAATGAAGAATAATTTAGGGCTGAAGTTGTGGCTCAGAAGTAGAGTGCTCCCCTACCTGCGTGAGGCACTAGGTTCAATTCTCAGCACCACATAAAAATAAAATAAAGGTATTGAGTCCACCTACAACTAAAAAAAAAATTGTTTTAATGAAGAATGATTAAAAGACAGGAATGTGATATGAGTTCTGTGATCCAATCCAGGGAGAAGTCCCTGTGGTCTTCCAATGCAATTATCTTTTACAATTATCTTTTCTCCTTTTAGGAGAATTTTGCTTTCCTATTGTACTTGGCTTTGGTTAGATTGGACATGGGGCAGATTAATGTGTAAGGATTATAGGGAAAAAAAAACAAGAGAAGTTAATAGTATTTACTGGGAAGGTGAAAAACAGATTAGACAAGAGAGCAGGAAACCTAATCCCATCCTGGGTAGAGGCCACTGACACAGAAGGGCAGAGGAGGATCCTGGAGGAGGGAAGGCCAAGGACACATCAGAGTCACTTACCTGCATACAGGGGGGCCTTCCTCCAGGCTGAAAGGGAACACACAGTGGTGAGACCACAGCTAAAACAAGCCTGCTCAGCATGAATGTACCTGCCCTGGCCTCCTCTCCATTCTAAAGATGGGACTACCCACAGGAGGAGAGAGCCAGAAAGTAGATGGGCTCTTGCAGTATCAGAGTCCACAGGGTATTGTGGGAAATCCCCTGGACCACAGATCAAGACGGCTGCTTTACAGGCCAACTACTACCACTGTCCCACTGCTTTCTCTCTGTCAGAAAACTGTCTGCCTCAAAACTCATAAAAATCCATATTCTATCTGTCTTTATTCAGTTTTGCCACTAAGGATCAAAATTACACTATGTGTGAAAATATTTGAGAGAATAAATATAATTCATTCCACAATTGTGAGGGGTATTATTATATCCAGGCTTTCTCAAGAAAAGATACATTTGAGGAAGGGGTGGGGATGTACATCATGGTAGAGGGATGGCCTAGCATGCACGAGGTTCCAGGTTCATGCCTCCGCACCACAAAATGAAAAAATAAAATTAAAAAAGACACTTGGGAAATTGCCAAAAATGAAGAATGATTTAAAGACAGGAATGAGTTCTTCAGTAAAACTGCCCAACTTTTCACATGTGAAATATTTCCAGAGAATAAGAACCACTTTTTAGGAAGTACTTGGTTCACTCCATCACTTTCCCACCTGTGGTGAGCAGCCTTCTTGGATTAGCACCTTCGGGAGCTGGAGAAAACATAATCCCTCACTGATGATTTGTTGGGAGATGAACAGAAGGCCATACTCCTAAACTTAATGACTCCATTTACTTATATAGATCATTTAATGATCTTAATATCTGCCTTTAATCTTCTAGGTGCAATCCAACTGCTAGATGCATTGAAGACTGATATATATATATATATATATATATATATATATATATATATATATATATATATATATGGCAATCCAGGGTTGAAATAAGATGCAGAATACATGACAGACCACAGGTCACCATCAAACTCAGGTTTCCACATGCTAGATAGGAAACAGTAGACCAGATCAAGGAAAGGCCAGGGACCAGTGTACTGGCATCCACTAGCTTCCCAGGGATAAGGCCCCACATGTCTGTGCCTAGACAGAAACAAGGAGAAGGGACACCATAACACAGGTTGGATAAGGAAACAAGGAATAAATGGAGGGAGAGTCACTTACCAGAGAGATAAGCAGCTTTCCTCTGATCTGAAAAACAACAAGAAATAGGGGAGCTAGGAACTAGAACATCTGCTACCAAGGAAACAGAAAATTCAGAAGGGAAAGCAGAACTTACTGAGATCTGCCTTGAGTTCATCTGAAAGAAAATGAAAAACAGTGTGAACGCCCATCCCCAAGAAAAGGAAAGACTGAGTGCCTGAAAAACCTAAGGAAAACATTTCTGTTCACTAGAATTTCTAACTACAAACCCACTCAACCCCACCAGTCTCTAGCTGTCCTCTCTGATCTCCTCAGTCACCTCCTCTGAGTCCAGGACCCTGGATCTCCCTAGAGAGCTGGACTCGGACTCTGGCCCCCGTCAGCTGTCCCACTCACCACCAGGTCTGCACTTGCCCTTTGTGGTCTTACCAATGGTCTTCAGCACCTCTTCCTTTGCCTGCTGTTCCTGCTTCTTAAGCCGCTGCTGATGCTCCTTTTCCTGCCTCACCTGCATCCTTCTGGAATGTGCTTTTCTGATAAAATAGCAAGCCCCCAAGAGTAGGAGCCCCAGCATGGTCAGGATCACAGCAAATGCTGGCTTCCAGGGAGAAGCCTGAGGGAAGAAGGGCTCTGTGGCCCAGGCAGACAGCAGGTCAGGGACACACCCAGGAGAGCCAGCTCACTCAGAGAGGCCAGCCCTCCCCAAAGCTCTGCTGGGAGTGGGAAGCAGCACTGACCTGGGATGTAAATAGCCATGGCCTTCTCCTGGCCCAGGACAGGGTTGAGGACAGAGCAGGTCACATTCCCCACAGAACTGTCTCTCACCACCAGAGTGGCCTCCACACTAAACAGCTCCTCAGTGTCTTGGGAGTGGGTTTCAGAAAGCGCTGGGAACTTGTTTTCACTGAGGTCTCTCCACTGCACCTGGGGCTTTGGGAACCATCCTGGGGCTTTGCACACCAAGCACACTCCATCCTCTTCTGGCCCTTCTATGTGCACTTGGGGGTCAGAGCCCATACCTGTGGGAAGGAAGCTGTGTAGCCCCAGGAGGCCACCTTGGGCTCTGAGACCCCAGAGTTGCCAAGACATTACATAACTTCAGGGGGAAGGTTTTCATGTTCAATTCTGGGAATTCTACGGAAAGACGGAATAAATGGAAGGAGCACAGGGACCCACACAGGGCAGTAGGCTCTTGTCCCCAGCTGTGATGCCCAAAGAAAAAAACAGGAAGAATTTTGTCCCAGGGCTCCCTCCTTGGATCTCAGTCTTCTCACCTCACACACTCTCCTGGGACATCACCCTCTCTGTGTATATCATGTCCAAAATCGTATTCAGTGACCACCTTGACTCCTGAATTATCTTACCCTCCACCCATGTCCCTATGAGTTATCTTTACCAGGTTTCCTCACATACACTTCAAACTCAAATTCAGAACTGAATTCATTAATTTGCACCACTTGTGATAAAATGATTATTAAAATAATCCAATACTTCACCCTTCTTTATAGTCAGTTCTAGAAATTCCACTTAATTTTTTACTGCCTTTACCTTCTGCCCCTGGGCCCAGTAATGGATTCAATTTGGCAATGAAAAATTAGCAAAAATGACTAATGAACCATGGTTTATTCCCTCTGCCATTTCCACAGGAGGACAATCCTGGTCTACCCAGTTGAGGATGGACTCATGTAACATTGCCTGGTCAACCTGCTACTGCTGCCCTAGGTCAGCCACATGACCACCTGAAACATCAGCACACCCAACCAAGGTGCACCTGGTGAACTTTTCTGCTAACTTAAGAACAAATAAAAATTACAAGTAAAAAGTTTAATTCTCCCTGTTAATAAAATAAGATTCTCTTCCTTTTTCTTATACCATTTGCTTTAGGAAATTGCAATTACAAATAGATACTTCCTTCTCTTTTGAAATTTTTATACATGATTTTGAAAACTAGTTAGGTTTTTTGCCAGCTTTGTGGCTCAGGAATGACTTTCTCAAGAACCTGGGAACCATTTCTTTGAAATGTAAACATCAGGGAAGATAGCAACCCTTTGCCCCCTTTTCTGTGGAAAGGTAGGAGCCTAACTTATGTGGGCATCTTGATCCAAGTTGTAAAACTGCTTCCTGTCATAAAGCTGGAGGAGTTCATTTTGCTTCCAGATAAAGCCTAATAGATTACACAGATGATCTCCCAAACTACCATGTAAATTTAGGATGAGTTATGTGGAACAATAGTTCTTTGAGCCCTCTTAATTGAGGATTAGTTATTCTTCGTTTTCAAAATAAGTATACAGGAGATTATATATGCTTCACTCTAAAAACAAAGATGAAATTCCTTTCAAGTTGTGTGATCCGTTCACAGATCACCATAATATGTATCACAATCTGGTTTGTTGCTTATTCAGTAATAAAAGTGTTTTCTCCTAGCATGGAAGATTTTGTTTTTAATTCTATTTCTGAAACATGACCAAAGATGTATGAGTAAACCCAGGTGAGATTAGCCAAGTTCAGCCCCAATTAGTTGAACTCCCTTAGTGCCTGAATTAAATACATTTTTATTGCCAAATCACCTGAGATTGTGGCTGTTTGTTACACAGCATTATTACAGCAGTAGAACTGACACATAATTATCAATAGTCCTGCCATGAAACAACAATGGTTCAAATAAAACACTGGAAGTCTCTGAACACTTCTCTTCCCCTTCCAAACTTTGTGCCCACAAATCTGTTTAGTTGAATCTGGTTTCTAAACCTGACTCCTCCTCTCCCACCCCACTACCATGCCTCAGGTCAGGCAATCATTCTCTCCACATCACAAATGCACTCCAAGCCTCCTTCTTGCTCACCTCCCATTCATCCATTCAAACTGCCAACATGAGCATTCCCAGCTTGGCTCTGTTTAGGATTCCCCCTACTCTGCAACCAAACTCCATAACACAGCACAGAAAGCCTTTACTGATCCAGTAACTGTCTTCCTCTCTGAACACTTGTCCCCAAACTCCACCATCTGAGATCCTCAGAGCCCTTACACTCAACCCCAAGAACTATTTAGTCAAATGCAAGTAGCCACAATCACCATATTGTATGCCCTCTGCCGTTTTACATTCCAGCCCATCAACATCCAGGGCTCTTGTGCCAGCCCAGGTGTCTACTCCTAATGACCTCATCCTGACACCTGACAGTGGTGTTAATACAGGACCATCTCTTTATTCCAGTATTGCCACTTCTTACCATCCTCTCTTCACTCCTCCTACCAACCATGATGGCCTCATTATACCCAGAATAATCAACCAAACTCCTACTTCAAAGGTTTCATAGCAGGTGCTCCCTCTGCATTAAACTCTGGCCCCACAGATATCCACCTGGCTAAATACCTACTTCCTTTGAGCCTTGTTTAGACTGTCAATAAGACTCTGCCCAATTCCCTATGTAACACTATGGATTGTCCTAAATTCCCAGCCCACATCCTGAGCCCCTTTCTTAAATCTACTTGGTCTTTTGTCTTAAGTACTTATCATCTTATGCCATCTTGTACTGAATTATTTCTTATAATTTTTCTTCCTTTGTCTCTAGAATGTAAACTCCTCATGGCTGGGATCTCTATTACACTGATATATCTCTGGTGCACAGGACAAGTCCCAAAATATTTTAGATGCTCCCTATACAGTGTTTGTATTGAATCAATTAATAAAAGATGAGCCACTTTTTTCTCCACTTCACCTATAAAATGTTAGGTTAAATTAGATGATCCTTGATATTCCCATCAAACCCAATATTCCCAAGGTCTCCAGAATAGACATCAAGTAACTAACCTGCCACCTTCACTTCCAAATCAGCCTCTTCATAGAAGCCTCCATGTCTGAAGAAGCAGGTGTACATTCCATTGTCAGAAACCCGGACCTGGCGGAGGAGCATGGCAGCATGCCCCTCAGTAAGGCAGCCCCTCACCAATGAAGTCCGCCCTCTGTACTCAGCCATCTGCTCCTCAGTCTGTTCCCAATGGTTCCAGTAGATGAACACTGTTTGTGAGAATGTGGTGCGGAACCACCCAAGTTCCATGTTCTCTGCATTCATGGCTGGAACTAGGGTGCAGGGAAGTATGACATCCTCACCCAGCACTGCCAAAATGGGGTGTCGAGGGCCAATGACCTGGAATTGCTCTGTGGGCACAGACATAGTGGGGAGAAAGCTAGAGAGACACAGACCAAAAAACGAGAACATACAACATCAGGTGGGAAGGCCAGGAAAGCCGGGGCAGGGGCCACATGAGATGACCCTAGAAGTCTGATGGATTTGGAAGAGGTCTTCTGATCATTATCATGTGGCCAGAAATAATGCCAAAGACACTCCCTCATTGTCTTCTGCTCCTGGTCCCAGGCCATCCCATGAAGAAATCTCTAATTCAGTGATTCTCAAACTTTCATGCACCAGAACCATAAGGCTGCCTTATAGAGCACACATCACTGGACTCCACTCCAGAGTGTCTCATCCACTAGATCTGGGGTGTGTGGGGGGGCAATGAATGTGCATTTGCAAGGAGTTCCAAGGGTGGTCTGAGGAGCACACATTGGGACCTGGGAACCCCAGGTCTAACAAACCCCTGTCTCAGGACAAACATGAAAACTGACAAAGAGCTCACATGCGGCCTGGGTCAGCACTCTTTGGTCATTCAGTCACACCCAGGAAATTCCCCTCTTCCTATTCTAAATTATTTACTTCAGTCTATATTTTTCTCCTCCACTGAGGGAGGAGAGAAATACATATGCACTTTAAAACACAGAGTCAAATGTTACTTACTGCTATGAAAATCCTGCTCTCATAATTCACGGAAACCCCCATCAATGCATGTTCAAGAAGCAGTTCACCTCACTCTCCACTCTTGGGACTCTTGGGCTTCTGAGGCTACCACATGACTCCTCTGCAGGACACGCTGCAATGGGCCTCCAAAGAGCTACTCTCAAATCCTGTACCTCTCCACTCTGGTCTCAGCCACCATTAAATCTCAACTGGAGAATGACTAGGATTCCTGACCTCAGTGATCCTTTTAACACGTGAGCTGATCCATGATGCTGCTCTGCTCAAAGCCTCCACATGGCTCCCCACTTCTCCCCAGGCCTGTCTAGTTTGACCCTCCTTCCCAAGACCCTTCTGAACTCACCTGCTGCTTCTCTCTCCATGGGCTCTAGTCCAGCAACACTGGCCTCTGAGCTTCCTCACACCTCAGCACACTGCCAGCTCTGTACAGGCTCCTCCCCCTGCAGGAACCCTCCTTCCAAATGGTCCTACAGCTCACTCCTCCTTCTCCAGGGTTATGTTCCCATCTACACACCACCTCACTGAACAGTGCTGCCTGCCCACACCTGCCTCCCATGCCCCGGACTGTCCACACCCTGCCCTGCTGCATTTCCCATAGTTTCCAACACTCTTAGGCCTCTCTGCCTAGTTGCAGTTATTACTCACTCTCTCCTGCTAGAAGACAAACTGTATGACAGAATTTGTGTCTGATTCTTTCATAGAATAGCACCTACCAATCAACATTTCATTAATATTTCAGGAATAAAATGAATGAATGAAAGCTCGCAGCACCAAAAAAAAAGCCAAGAAAACAAAAAAAAAATGAGGAAAATGTATTTTCAAATGTTTTTCTATCTTGATTTTTAAAACCACAAAGGAAAACAGATGGGGACACTCACCTGTGGACAGCTGGACAAGGAGAAGCAGGGAAGCGAGACAGCAGAGCAAGGAGCGACTGCAGCGCCCTTCCATATCTTTAGAGCTGGGGAGAGAGATGGGGATGAGGGCCGAGACCTGCAGGCAGGAGGCAGGTCCAGCCCAGAGCTCCAGCACCTCAGCATAGAGAGCAGGGCTCAGGGCTGGACAGCAGTCCCCTGCTGGAGCAAAGCATTTCCTATTGGTTCATCATACTAACAGGGTGGTGGGCCCCCCACTACCCTGACACTATCAAATAGCTGAGCCTGGGCTCCTTCCAGCTCTTGTGGGAAGACTGTGGTATCAGGAAACCATAGAATTACCTGGTAAGAAACTGTTCCTATTAGTACAAGCATGAGTGTTCACATGTGTACACACACACACACACACATACACACATACACAGAGAGAGAGAGAGAGAGAGAGAGAGAGAGAGAGAAAGGGGTAGAAACTTAAATAAATGCAGGTATGGATGCATATAGGTGAGTCAGCCTACCACATGTTTCTAGCTTGGAAAAACAAGTAGTTCCAGAAAAAATGACACTCTAGTAGCCACAAGCATACGGAGCATTAATGTAGTTGTTTTTAAATATCCTTTTCCAATTAAAAAAATACTGGGATCTCTGAAAAACAGCCTGATGATAGGACTGAAGCAAGATAAACATAAATTACATTTGGAGCATATCATAGTAGCAGATTGGGAGAAAGTGCTCAGACATATAGTTAAGCAAATATATCACCAAAGGTGTGTGGGGGGGGGGGGTTGAAAATCAAAGAAAAGGAAGAAAAAGAGAATGGGACCTAGTCACTAGGAAAGACTCACCAACCAGAAAGAGCTTCTAATAGCCAAGGCTTGAGCCATCAAATAAAAAAGCCATAATAAAAAGAATAAAATTACTAAGAAAATACTTTTTATATTTTATTTGGATTGTAGTTCCTCAAATAAAATCTGAGTTTGTATTATTATAAATAAATGGATAATTAAATTAATGGGAGCATTTTTTTCTTTACACAAGACTTCTAATAAGGAGAATGAAAACCCACCAGTTCAATATTTAGAAAAAAATTACTGCAGGAAAGATCAATGAAGAAATGCAAAAGGAGGAGCAACTTCAAAGAAAAACAGGATATTAAAAAAAAGAAAAGAAAGAAAGAAACCGTTCCTTCCTTTCCCCCCCCAACCACAGCTTACTTGACCCAGAACACCAGGCTCTTTCTCTATATATACCTGGAGCTCTTTGGTGGAAGGCATTCCTCTATCTCTCTGTTATTCACATACCACTCATGACCCCCCAGAAAGGAGGGCCCAGACCCAGGGTTCCCATTATGAAAATCATGCAAACTCCTGCTTGCCTCTTCTCCTGCCCCATAATTATGCCCAGGTTTGGCCTGGGCAGTGTCAGAGACAGACATGCCCTCAAGGAGGCTGTGGTGCCCATCACAGGAGCCCAGAACCCTGTCCTGCTTTCTTAGATGTGGAGTTCCCCTAAACCTGAATCTCAGCCCAGTCCCTTCCACTGCGGGCTCAGATATGGCGCTTCATTTAGAAGGTGCCAAGCACTTCCCCCACCAACAGGTTTGTCCTTGCCTTCTTTTTCTTTGAGAGGTTAGGGACCCTTCCTGAGAGGTTAGGGACCCTTCCTGGAGACAAAGCATAGAGATAATGAGCCCTGGTCAGAGAAAAGACCCCAAATCACCTACAATTTGGAAGGACCAGGGAGAAGACAGTCTGTGGTATTGGGAAGAACAAATTCTGGGAGCCGACTTCAAGGCTGCCCTCCAGGCTCAGCCACTCTCACCGTGACCTTCTTGGCCTCAGTTTCCTTGACTGTCTGATGGACATAGTCACAACATCTACCTCCCAAGTTTGTAATGAAAATGATGTGATTTATAGTCACTACATGTAATTAAAACAGGGCCTGGTCCAAGAAAATGTTAAAGAAATGTCATTATAGCAAATGAATAGAGGAACAACCCTCATTAAGCTTCTCCTGGGTCTTCCTAGAACAAGACTGTTCCACCTACTCCCCCACACTGCCTCTCACACCACCTCATCCTCTGCTCCTTCCTGCCACCGGCTTCTCCCTAGATTCCTCCTCTTAGGTCACAGGTGTCTTCAAAGCCAACTTACCTTCTTCTCTGTTCTCCCACCTATGAAAGGCTGTGACTTCCTGGAGCATCTCTAAACACAGAGCTGGAGAAATTTCAGAGTCAAAAGGACCCCAGAAGACCACAAATAATGCCCTCAGAATTTACACCTGCCCCAAGCTGCTCACATAACCCAGTCCTCTGCCTCTGAGTCCAATGCTGGGGCCACAAATTCCTCATCTCCTAGAGGCAGTTGGTTCCCAGGAAAGGGACAAAGCAGAGCCGGACATAAGTTGCAGTGATCTCTGCAGAGTCTCTGACACCGGGGTCCCCACTAAGCCCTCCCAGTCAGAGGAGCAACCACTCACTCACTCCTTTCCACCATCTAAAGCGAAAGCTTGTAAAAGGAGCCTGGGCAGAGTGTACCCTGCCCTCTGGACATTGCTCCCTTTACCAGGAAGAAGGAAGCAGAGTAGAGCAGCAAAAAGAGAGTGCCCACCATTTTCCTGGAACACTGCAGAACAAGCTCAGAATGCCACCACCAATCCCTGCCCAAAGGTCAGACTCCCTAAAACCTAGAGATGTTAGGGACATGTTACAAAAAGAAGAAAACAAAATTATACTGAATCCCTATCAAGAATTGTGCTACATAAATTTTACTAATGCCATCTCATTATCACAACTGCAGAGATAAAGCCATGAGCCCCGCCATCTGGTAACATCAATCTAGTAACTTCCTAGATGAAGGAGAGCCTAGATGTGCCAGGAGACTGCCTCCCACCACCACATCTCCAGCCCAGCTCAGCCCCCTGCCCCAGGTAACTCAAGTGAGCAAGATCCTGAAAGAGACCTTGGACTCTCAGTTGCCTCAATTACATGACCAGAAAGCTTATCTCACCCAGACCTGAGCATTCTCCCTCCCAAGGTTGCCCTTTGCCCTTCCATTTGGGGAGGAAGGGATGGAAGTAGTGACAAAGAGCAGGTCAGGTCTCCTTAAAGAACACTGGCAGAATCCTTGAACAGCACTGGCAGGGGACACAGAACCTCAGCACTATCCTCTCCCAGCTCATCAGGATCACTGTTCAGCTGCTTCGACAAGAATCACCATTCACTGAACCACAAATAATTTTTCTTGTATAAACATAAATTATCCTAATATTAATGAGGTTAATATGTACTGTCTTTTATAACCAAAATGTAGTCTTATCTTTTACCTGTAGCAAGTACTTTCTAAATAGCTTCAGATAAATGCCTAAACCACAAACAACAGTTAATGTAAAATGTATGAAATGCATTGGAATTCTAAAAATGTGAGAGTTGATGTAAAGTACTTCACTCACCCAACCCCCCACCCCATTCTGTTCATACTGGGGATTGAACTCATGTTAGGAAAGCCCCCTGCCTCTGAACCATATCCCTAGCCCTTTAACCCCTTTTCTTAGAATACAGGACCATCTCTTTATCTTGACACTGCTAAGATGAGTTCACTAGGTTACCTTCTACTGTAGGAAAAGGTTTAAAGAACTGTTTTCTGGCTACTTATTTCTAGAAAAAAAAATGAAAAGGAAAAAGACACACAAGTTGGTGAATTTTGTTTCAGTTCCAAAATATCCCTCCAATCTCTATCCAGCATAAACCTGGCTGATGGGCTGCCCTGTGACCTGGCAGCCCACTGAGTAGAATCCCAGTGGTGTGGCTGTGCAAGCCCCTTCTTCTGAGTCTGCCCATCTGCCTCTCCGGTGGGGAGACCCCTCCCAGGTGAGGCTGTCACCTCCGAAACTGAATATCCAATTAGAAGCGGCTGAGAGACCTCCTTATTCCTCTCACTCTCTTAGTGGAGCCAGGCCTTGGCCCAGCCCCACGCTGAATTCACCAATGAGCCCTCCTGGCTGGGGCACCTGCCCCACCACTCTGCATGAGCAATCCACCCCCTTCCTCATCTGAGATTCCAGGGAGGTAAAGTATCCCTCCCACTCAAGCCCTGAGATAGAAAAGGATAAAGGAGTGAGGCCAGAGAAACAAAAATTGTACATTCCTATAGAAAATTTAATGAATTATATTAACTAATAAAAAATAAATAAATAAATAAAAATTTACAAGTAAAGACAGCAGATTGAGAGAAAGCTGGCATAAAAAGGAAGGAGCAGGGCTGTGGGTGTGGCTCAGTGGTAGAGCTCTTGCCCAGCACATGTGAGGCACTGGGTTCGATCCTCTGCACCATCCAAAAATAAATAAAATGCAGATATTGTTTCTATCTACAACTAAGAATTTTTTTAAAAAAGGACAAAAAGTGAAGCCAGGAAAGAGGGATAAGGCCTTCTTGGCATTCGGTCCCAACCTATAAGAAGATGAGACACCAGAATGGGCCCAGAGTATCTGAAACATGTTCCCCAGTTACTGCAATGTCAGATCAGTTGCAGAGAGCCAGCACAGGCACTGACCATATGTGTGACCCATCAGTGACCTGGGAAGAATTTACTGACCCTCCCAATCCCAGGTAGGTCAGGCCCATGTATGGTCAAAGGTGAACCAGGTGAGTCCCAGTGGAAGGGATTTCAAAACTGGGTCATGGGAAAAGGCCTAGAGTTCTCAAAGGTTGACCTCCGCCCCTCAGAGAAGTAGAGGGGGGCCTAGGGCAGGAGAGGCCCTGTCCAGCTCCAAGAGGCACATTCTAACAGTCCCTAGGATGCTGCACACCTTGTTCCTCTCCTGTCACAGAGAATCCTCCCCCCAGGCACAGCCAGGGCCTCTGCTCTCTAATAACCACCAAGAAATATTTAGGCACACCATTCACTGAGGGTCATTTTACCTGAACATTTTATACTTCATTCCCATGATGATTCCCATGAGGTGGTTCTCACTGTCCTCATTCTAGAGCTGAAGGATGGATCCTCTACAATATGTGTAAGCTATCCAAGGTCATAGGGTCACGTGGACAAACACTGACAGGGGCAGGTCTGCCCCAAGGCACAGTCTAAATCCAAAAGAGTTGGGGGAATCAGCACTTATGGTGCTCCAGGGACCTGGGGGGCAAAAGGGGAGGCAAAAACACATTAGAACTTCTATTATAAAAGCTTTAATCTTACTTCTCCTGATGTGATATTTGTTTTTATAAGCCAAATAACTCTTGTACATATTTGTTAGCTGCATGTTCAAAATTCATAACTTTAAAAGGAGGGCATGTCCGGAACTGTTTGGAAACTCCCTCTCAGAGAGGAAGGAACAACATGCACCCAGCCAGAGGGTGCTTCATGGATGCCAGATCATTCTTGGGCCAATGAAAAAGCCACACAGGCATCCTCAACCAGTTTCCTTGGCCTCTGCTGCCCCCTTGTGGCTAAAATGTGGCAGAGAGAAAGGGCAGTTCCCCCAAGAAAGAGAGAGAATATGAAGTCAGATAAGAAATCTTAAAAATGTTGGGGGCTGGGGATGTGACTTAGTGGTTAAGTTTCTGTGAGCTCAATTCCTGGTGCCAAAAAAAAAGGAAGAAAAATTTAAAGTCAACAGGATAGGGCTGGGGATACAGCTCAGTTGGTAAAGTGCTTGCCTTGCATGCACAAGGCCCTGGGTTCAATCCCCAGCACCACAAAAAAAAAAAAAAAAAAAAAAAAAAGAAAGAAAAGAAAAGAAACAAACAAACAAACAAAGTCATCAGGCTAGAGGTGAAAAGACCTGAGCAGAATCCTACTTCTCACTGGATAGACCTGGGACATTCTGGCCTGCTGTAGGCCTCTGGTCCTACCTGTGAAATACAAGTAATCTGAGTGTCAATCCCTTATGGTTATTTTATATAGATAGATAGATAGATAGATAGATTACACGGCTTAATGCATGAAATTATTCACTTTTCTGAAGTACTAGCTCAGATTCAGATTCATTCCACAAGAGAACTGACTCACCACAGAGGGCAATACAGGGAACAAGGTCAGCATTTCTGCCCCAAGTCTCCCCTCAAATTAGTCTACCCACATTACCCCACTCCCACTGCTCCCCTGAGAACAGGGAGGATGAAGATCTCCCCTCTTCCTGGATAGCCCCAAACACACAACTGCAAAAGGCCCCAGCCAGACCTGGTTCTGCCCTTTCCCCAAACCAAAAGCTTTTCCTCTTCTCCCCTCCCCTTTGGTCCTCACATTCCCCTACTGATAGGCTGTAGGACACAATCTCTACACAAACTTGTTCAGAGAGCATTTATTAACAGCCAGCTGCATGTATCTGGAACAACAACAGAAAGAAAAACAAAGTCCTTTGCCTTGAGCAGTTATGATCTAGTTAACTAACAGGACCCGTGGTAAAGTGGAGAAAATTACACAGCAACATAGATAAGAAATGCAGGCTCCCAGATACACCTAAGACAGGATACACCTAAGATAAGGTACACCTAAGGTAAGCCCAGGTCAGAGGAGCTGGAGAAGCACCCTCAGTTTTCTGGCTCTGACCCTGGGGAAATCGAATTCTCTGGGAATGGGAACAAAGCTGAAAATGTCACCAGGAAAACACCCTTTTGAACCCTGAGAAACAATCCTTTTTAATAACTAGTCCTCTCTTCCAAACCAAATTATACACCTAGCCAACCATGCTGACATCTGGGACCTCCTTGGCCACTACTGTGAAACTAGATACAGACTGGAACTGAACAAAATTGGTTTTAGGCCTAAAGGATGCCATGTAGACCTGTTATTCACCCCAGACTCATTTCCACTTCATTGTAATTATCTTGCTTGGTCTGGTCCCCTTATGACCCAGATTGAAATCAGCTCAAAAAGAAAGGATCAAACAAAAGCAGCCCAGATGGGACATGGTGCTTTGAACCTGTATAATCCCAGCTACTCAGGAAGTTGAGACAGGAGGATGGTGGGTTCAAGCCAGCATTGGCAAAATAAAGAAAATAAAATAAAAGGGCTGGAAGTGTAGCTCAGTGTTAGAGCACTTGCCTAGCATGCTGAAAACTCTAGGTATGATCCTCATTACGAAAGAAAGAAAGAAAGGTCCTTATCTCCAGAATGAACCTAACCCTCTCCCCAGAAGAAGTCATGAATCATCCTCCTTCTCCTTAAATCCCAACTTTCCCTCCATATTCTTAAAAGGACTCTCTCATCTTTTGTTTGGATGGGAAGCTCATCGGAGAGTTATCTCTAGGCTTCTCTTTATTCTCCAGCCAAAGAATAAACTTTCCTTCATTTATAATCAACTCTCAGATTTGTTATTGGTTTCATAACTCAGAGAGTGAGAAAGAACCCAGTGTGGGTCAGAAATTGGAAAAAAAGGCTGCTCAGCTCCTGCCCTCTCTGAGAGACCATCTTCCTCTCTACAGAGACACTGACTCTGAAAATTGGAATCAGAGGTTCAAAGGCTGAGTGTAAGGAGGGTAGAGAGGAGAACCCTGCTGAGGAC